GGACTCAGACGAAAGCTCAGAGAAGATTTCGTAAACCAAAGCTCGGAGAAGCTTTCGTAATATGTACTCAGCAATCACGGGTTTTCACTCCATGTTCGAGGAGAGTGTTCAGGACTGCGCAACTATACCTCACAAAATGGCCTTCAGCTCGTGGATTTCTATGGCATATTCCTGGACGTCGATGTAGTTTAAAAACAGCCTGAAGTATGAAGTTCACTCTGAGAAAATTTGGCCCTGCTCATGATGTCATGAGTCCGGAACGGCGCACCAGGGTAGAGTACGTTATCTGCGAAAACAATAGCCTGAGCCATTCAAACATCAGACAACACACCCATGCCCAAAGCACAGCTAAGCACAGCACCTTGTCTGACAGACTTGGCTCAGCTGCGTGTAGATCCTTGCATGCCCACGTGTCAAACCCTCGCAAATGAATCTGCTGTTCCATGCCTCATGGTAAATTGTCCCACGATGGTCCTGCATTTTGCTCGATGCTGATGAACGACAACAGGCCGTGGCAGAAAATGCGCTAATAGGTCCAGCAACAAGAAATCAATGGTGCCCAGCTGGCCAGTGGCCACCCAGTCGCAAGCACACCTGCCACTTCCGGTCATTCCCCCACCGCACCACTCACTGTAATAGCCATAAATCCGGTCGGCAGCACCCAACGCGCACTTGGACCTCCCCCTCCACTCCGGCAAATTGCAAAACGCCGCCTTGGTCAGGCCAGGATCAGGAAGGCTGCTGATTTGCCATGATTTCCTGTTCTCTCGTATTTGTCCTGTTGAGCTCCTAACGGGCAATGTAAGCATTAGCCGCATCCACCTCGCATGTGGTGACCTGCTAGGATCGAAACAAGGGCAGTGCAGTTGTGGCTTGCATCCTCATTGCATTGCCCAATTTTGAAGCTGTGCAGCGGACGCTTCCGTGACCGCCCAGCTCACGCAGCCGCTGTGCCATGACCATGGAAGAGTAGCCCACATAACCTCACTTTCAAAGCAGACACGACTACGAGACACTACAAGTTCCAGTCAAGAGCTTCAAGCCACCGCAAGTTGCTAGGAAACTCTTGGGCTTTCAGCAATCATTTGGGGCCAAAACGATGCTTTTGCGTGCCTCTACAATTCACGTTGATCTTAAATAATTGAAGGATTCAAAACAATGATGTGTGCTGAAGTATGCCTTATTTTTCTGTTATGCTTGCAAATCACTCCGAAACTCGCGCCTTCAAACCTGGCCCAGCCTTGAATCTTAGCCA